AAAGAGAAGAGACCAAGTAGTTCTTTATGGGACTCTTTTATTTTTCTTAAATGTCAATGATCATAAAACTCCTGGCTTCTACTCATTATAGATCTGCATTCTCAAATATATTTTCCTTGATTTCAGTGCCCTGTAGATGTTTGGGTAATAAAAACTCTCTCCACCCTAGAAATTAGAGAAACTCTCACCAATACTGGGGAATCCAGTATTGAGTACTTGAATATTCCAGGGCATGAAGAATGAATCAGTGCTAAATTCATAAGTCATTCATCCAAAAATGAAACACAAGAAATTACAATTTCCTTGGGCCTCTACTTTTACCACTTGCAGGGTCTCAAGAGTTCTAGTATCAATCATGCAACCAAATATGGCTGCTGCACAAATGCTTTCTTTAAGGTGTCTCCCTGTACACATAATTGTATATGAATTGTGGAGATGGAGGTACTTGTACTTTCAATTGATTGAAGGATACTTGACTTTGTTTGCCTTCTGTTCATTCAAGCCATAGTCTGTCATGTCTTCTTCCCCTTGCACAATGATTGCAGCACCAGGTATTCCTCTTCCCCTCTATGAAATACCTGATGTATACTGAGTTGTTATTTCCAGGTGAAGGCTTTTTTTTTTTTTTTTTTTTTTTTTTTTTTTTTCAGTCACTGGCTTTATAGAGTTCTTCTCCACTATGAGTTTTCTGGTGTTTAATAAGATTTGATCTGTCAGTGAAGGCCTTCTGACATTCTACACAAACATAAGGTTTCTTTCCTGTATGAATTATCTGATGCATACTTAGTGTTGCCCTCTGTATGAAAGCTTTCCCACAATTACTGCATTCATAGTGTCTCTCTCCAGTATGAGATTTCTGATGTATTTTGAGACTTGACTTCCAGGTGAAGGTTTTTCCACAGTCACTGCATTCATAGGGCTTCTCTCTATTATGAATTTTCTGGTGTGTAATGAGATTGGACTTGTCAGTGAATGCCTTTCCACATTCAACCACATATATAGGGTTTCTCTCCTGTGTGAATGTGCTGATGCACATGGAGTTGTGACTTCTTAGAGAAGCATTTCCCACAATCACTGCATTCATATGGTTTCTCTCCAGTATGAATTCTGTGATGTGCAATGAAATGTGATTTCTGGATGAAGTCCTTCCCACATTCAGGACAAACATAGGGTTTCTATCCTGTATGGATTCTCTGATGCATATTTAGTGTTGATTTCTGGATAAAGGCTTTCCCACATTCATAGCATTCATAGTGTCTCTCTCTAATATGAGATTTCTGATGTATTCCGAGGTGTGACTTCCATATGAAGGCTTTTCCACAGCAATTACATTTATAGGGTTTCTCTCCCATATGAGTTTTCTGGTGTTTAATGAGATTTGACTGGTCAGTAAAAGCCTTCCCACATTCAGTACACATATAGGGTTTCTCTCCAGTATGAGTTTTCTGATGTGTAATGAGATTTGTCCTATGAGTGAAAACCTTGCCACATTCTGTACATATATAAGGTTTCTCTCCTGTGTGAATTCTCTGATGCACATGAAGTTGTGACTTTTTGGTAAATGATTTTCCACAGTCACTGCATTCATAAGGTTTTTCTCCAGTATGAATTCTCTGATGTGTATTGAAGTGTGATGTCTGGATAAAGGCCTTCCCACATTCAGTGCATACATAGGGTTTCTCTCCCGTATGAATTCTCTGATGCATTCTAAGGGCTGATTTCCTTGTGAAGCCTTTCCCACATTCATTGCATTCATAATGTCTCTCTCCAGTATGAGTTTTCTGATGGATACTGAGGTCTGAATTTTGGGAGAAGCCTTTTCCACATTCAGTGCATTCATAAGGTTTTTCTCCTGTATGAATTCTCAGATGTCTATAGAGATCTGACCTCTGGAAAAAGGCTTTTCCACATTCATTACATTTATAGGGTTTCTTCCCAGTATGAATCTTCTGATGTGTAATGAGGTTTGATTTAAGAGTAAAGGCCTTACCACATTGAGTGCATATATAAGGTTTCTCTCCTGCATAAACTCTCTCATGTACATCAATTTCTGGCTTCTGAGTGAAGACTTTCTCACTTTGGTTACATTCATAGGATTTCTCTCCTGCATAAAGTTTCTGATGCTCAAAAAGATGTGGCTTTGGGGTGGAGCCCTTCACATATTCAGTACATATGTAAAGTTTTTCCCTAGTATGAATTTTCTGATGGTGGATGAGAACTTGTTTGTGGCGCTGAAATGTTTCTGTAATTGATTATGTTCACAGGAATTTACTTCTGTATTAGAATTTTCATTCTTAGTAAAGGAAGAGCTATGGCCAAAATTGTTACCATTGCCAAAAATCTTATCAAGGTTGTTTGTTGCAATGCTTCTATTATAATTATGTAAGTTTAAAAGATGCTTCAAACTCTTTCCAAATGTGTCATAGTTATGGAGTCTTTTTCTTGATGAGACAAGCTTAGTACTCACGTGAATTATTTTTCCATTGCTTTTACATCCATATCCCTTATCCTTAATCAACATTTTCACATGACTTAAGGGATTATTATGGTTCACCTGATATCTCTGTAGCTGGCCATTATCTTGGCATAGTTCTTCTAAAATGGAACATACTGACTCTTCCTCCATGGACTGATTTAATCTCTCACAGTGGAATGAAATTTCTCCAGAAATTCCCTGTTGTTGAGTTTGTCCAATATTCTCATCTAAAAAGAAAAATGAAAATGACACAAAGAACAATTAGCAGAGGCTAAAGGGTACGTATATCTCAGACAGGATTAATATAGAAAAATGGAAGAGCCCATGTGATAATAATGATAATAGGATGGCACAAAATTCTTATAGAACACTTAATGCAATTAGTATATGCAAAACAAGTATATACCATTTATTATACACCAGGCCCTGTTCCAAGTGCTTAACATGACAACTCTATGAGGTAGGTACCATTATTAAATGTGTTTTAGGGGTGATAAAAGAGAGGCACAGATAAGTTATATAACTTGCTGAAGACAAAATGGCTAAATATATGGGATAAATGGGATTTGAACTCTGGGAATCCAGCTCTACTTATGTAGATAGTCTGGAGAGTGAATATAGTAACTGGAAGAAATTGAAAAGTCTGTTAAGGTGAAATCTAGCAATGGAAGAAATGTTTCCAGAATATAAGATCTTATTATGTATCAGCCCTAAAACCTTACTAATCTTTCTGTTCCTCTTGCTTTTTCTTCTGAGCCATTGTGAACATCATCATTAAATTTATATGCTTCAAACATCAGTTCCTTCAAATCTATAGGAAACTTGCTGCAACTTCAGCCATCCAGACATAGATAAACAAATAAATGGATATCTGTGCTGCCATTCTGTAACTAGGTAAAATTTTTTCATGGTCTCATGAATACATTTTTATAAAAAGAAGTGTAAAATAGGAGAGGGAAAGCTATCTGTGGCAAACTGCAAGCCAGCCACAAAAATCTATTCTACCCTTCTGTGATAGTTGGAGTTGTGTATCAACTTGGCTGGACCACATGTCTGAGTGGTTTAAGCAATTGTGCTGTAGGTTATTCCCATGATGAGATCAGATGAATATGTTTGAGCAGCCAATCCACTGAAAGGGAGTTTCCCTAGGGGTGTGGCCTGCTTCCAATATATTTATGGACATCCTGGGAAAAGAGACACTCTTCTGTGGATCAGGATCCTGTTGTACTGCCTAAAACTGTCTGTGAGCAAACAATCCACCATTAGGCCTGGAGATCTTGGATTCATCATTTATTAGAGTCAACAGCCATTATACTGCCTGGCAACCTTGAGCTCGTCAGCCCCTACAGCTGCATGAGTCAGGAAAAGCCTCCAGCTTGATGTTTGATCCAAGAACTTTGGACCTGCCAGCTTCTATAAGTGTGTGAGCCATTTTCCTAAGATAA